CTTAATCAGGGAACCATGCAGGTCAATGCCTGGTAATCATGCTGTAGTTGTGATATCACATTGATCTTCAGGCAGTCCACTGTCCTATCTGCATTTGAGCTACTGGCAAACTGATAGGTGGTTACTGGGTAATAAAGAATAAAGAAATGAAATGATTTCTGAAGAAGGGCCTAGACCCGAAACGTCAGTTTTCCTGCTCCTCTGATGCTGCCTGGCCTGCTGTGTTCATCCAGCTCTACACCTTGGTATCTTCCTTCTGGCTAGGTTGCCTATTATTAAGTAATTAAACTGCTGTACTAGAATGCCATTTTCCATTCTATTATCCCAAAGCTGACCTCTCTTGGTTGCTGACTCTTGCAGTATACTCTTAGCCACTACGCAAAAAGACACCCTAAATTAAATTACCTAGTGCTCCTAGAGGAATTATTAGTTCAAATGCCCAGAGTGTGGTCTCTAAATGCTTCCAGTCTGCTTGGTGAAGAATAGTCGTTAAGGCCTGTTACGCGAACAAATAGCATTGACATCAGTGATGCCTGCTGATGACTGTGCACATGGAGTTGGGATCTGAATAAGCAGGCTTCTCAGACCTACCTACCTTTGCAAATATTAAATGTTGTTTAAGAAGCCTTTATCTGCTGACACCTGTAAGCGGAGGATGAATGCCAACTCTGCATGCTCACCTCCAATTTCTTTCAGACTGTGCAGGTGCATCATAAAACTGACTTTTAAAAAATTCTTTGTTCAACCCTTTATTTATATTCACCTATAGACTCTTCCATTTAACCTCTTTGCTCTTATAATTATGCCATGACTGATAAAGGCATGTTATTGAATCATAAAATCCTGTTCTAAGTACGGGAGTAAGAAAATGTTGAATTAGAATTAAAAACTCCCTTGTAAACTTATTTCCTTAATGATTTGCATACTAATGATTACAAATAGTGTGAATTTCTTTCCAGTTATGATCCGAGCTCCGTTTACCTCCAGCAACACGTTCAAGAAGTTCTTGAACATTTTTGTTAATGGAATTGTCACTAAGACTGTGGCATCAAATAAGCAGCCTCTGCCTATTTCTTCCATTCCCCAGCCTACCAGACTTGGTAAACTTCTGTTATAAATTTCTCTGCTCCAGCCCTGACTTTGCATCTTTTGATAGTTTCTCTTCTATATGTCTTCAAGATGTTTCGAAGTGCATATTGACCATGACTCTCACATCCTGATCTCTCAACTCAATAAACTTCTGAGCACTGTTTTTATTCCCAAGGTCAGCTGTTATCATTCACAGCTCTCTCCCCTCATATACTGACTCCATCTCCTTCAAATCTTGTTGTCACTGCTCTCCTCAAAGACTACCTAATGAGTCCGTTATCTTTACACACTACTGCCCCATCTTCAACCATCCTTTCCTGTCCAAAATTTGCAGTGCATCATCTTGCCAAAAACTCCATATGTGAATTTCTCCAATTGGGTTTCCAGGACGGTCTCAATTAATCAAAATCACAAAATCATGCTTAGCGAGCATAACAAAGATAAATAATTCCTCCCCATCCTTTTTGACCCGTGTGCGGTCTTTGCCGTGGTTGATCACTTCATCGTCTCTGAATGGTTCTCCATCATCATCCAGCTGAATGCACTCTGCTAGCCTCCTGCTTACCTAGCTAACCAGAGCCAGCAATCATACACAATTGCTTATTTGTGAACTGCTGCACCATTCTCCCTATCGTGGGGTGGGGGTGGGAAACAACTTGCTGTATTCACTTCTCCAGGATGTTCCTTGGGGCATTTCAAAGACATCTAAATACAAGCTGTTGCCATCAATTCCCCATCCTTCCCCAGCTATCAGAGTCTGTATCAATAATTCCATCCCTACCATGTCGGTCGCCTTTAGTCTGGCCAATTGAGTCCATGGAGTTGGTGAGATACCTCTGGAAACGGTTGGGTGGTCTGGTGTTGACCTGGAGCCCAGCTGCCAGCTTGGCTTTGTTGGCGCTGGTTAGTCTTTTCATGTTAATCAGCAACTCTGGATGGTCCTGCTTGAAGCTGGGGTTGTGGAAATGGTGAAGCAGCCCATCTCCTGCCCCCAACTCGCCCGGCACCGGGTGCTCGCCGCTGCCTTGCCCCATCTTTCGAAAACCGTAAAGGTTGAGCTGACGGATGAAGCTGGTGAAGTTGGTGGTTTTGAAGAGCAAGTCGGTGTCGGGCTCCAAGTTGGCCCCGTTGCTGACGTTCTTGATGGGGGTGAGGAGCTCGGATTCGAAGAGTTGCTGGTCGACGATCAGCCCTTCTCCGCGGGGATCCCAGCGAATCGAGCGGTACCGGGGGCTGTTGACGATGCGCCACAGCTTGGCCGGAAAGTTGTTGGGATTGATCGGAGTGGAGAGCAGGAACTCTTCCATTTCATGGCTCACCACGGGGCTCATCGGGGGAATCGATCCGACTGATTGATGAAGCATAAAGAGGAAATGGTGGGGCTGGTTGGAAACCGAGCACTCCCTCTAACATGGATATCGATCGATGCCAAACACTCGGTCGGGTTCCGATACCGATCGATCCCTTCCATGGAACCGTTAGTGCGCGTTCCCGAACTGCTGTTTAAATTCTTATTCGGCCAATCAGTTCCCGACCTCAGGCTCGCGCCCGGCACACGCGATCCAAACGCCCGTCGCACGCGCCGCCTCTCGCGGCTTCAAACGCCGGTTCGTCGCACGGCGCATGCGCTCGGCGGCAAGCCTGCGCTACCACGTGGGTGCTGCGGTTTCTCCATCCGCCATAACGCATGTGCCAGATATTCCCCGCCCCCACAATGACTCGTGCGTGAAGTGACCGGTGGAGCATGTGCACCAGCTGATGGTTGACATCTCTTCGGCAGAGTATCCTACCGAACTCACCACACGAGGTGGACATTAGACAAAGTATTTTCCGATTGAAGATCCACAAGAACAAATAACTGATGTTCATTGAGCAATCTCTTGTTATTTAATTGTCTGTAATAGTAAGAGAATTTGTAGTAGATACACGCATGTGTTCCGATGGGCAGTTCAGGTATGGGAAGTTCGTTCCCATAACTTAAGAAATAGACAATTTGAAAGACAAACTTTACTGACAAACTCTGACATATTAGAAGTCAGTTTTTAAGAGGACGGGAACAAACAACTCTCAAGTTGTCACTTAAAATTTCACTTGTACTGGAAAGTCCAAAAAGGTGGTAGTTTTATACAGGAAATTCGTCGGAAGGCTATTGAGATGTTTAAATTGATTTTCAATTATAGAGATATCTAGTTAGTTTACGCTCATTAAAGCTGAGAGGCCACCTTTACAAATCACCAGGAATCTTCCTGTCCACTTCTTCCTTGTATAACCGACAGAAAATCTTCAGAAACAACAAATAACAATTTAACACTTTTGGGAAGAAGTGAGATGGAGTAACCACTTTCTCAGGAAAAGATGTGGCAGTCACCTCAGGAGCACTCGGATAAAGGAGCTCATAGCAGTCTAAAATAACTACCAGTGTGAAAAAATTCCCCATGAATCTTTAACATATACGCAAGTGGTTGCATCCTTTATTAAAGATGATATCAATTTATTAATTTAACTGTTAAAACACTTAAATGATTGTTGCATGGAAAAATTATGACTGATAGTCACATTATTGTTATTATACTGTTCACTTAATTACAATAATGTGCAGTTTTTTGGTGTGCCTGGGCTGTTTTTTAATTAGTCGGTGGGTTAGTTTAATGGGAGGAGTTTGGAACACACTGGGGCATGTAGGTAATTTACAATTGCTAACTGTTGGTGGTTGGGTGGCAGTAACAATAGGATTTATGGTAATTGGCAGGTTCTTTGTGAGGAAAAACACAATTTTAGGGGAGTCCAACAACAAGGTTATCTGGTTTTTGGAATTGGGGTGGGGATGGATGGAGGTGTTTGAATAGTGTGGGGTAAAGATGAGGAGAATAGATTAGGGGTGGTAGGGGAACTGAATGGGAGGATTAGAATGGCACTGAGGTTGGACAGAAATGGGAGGAATGGGATGGCAGAGGGCAGGGTTAGTGTGGTGGATCACCAGGGAAGAGGGAAATCTCATAGGAGGGAATGTGGGGCAACATGATGGGTACGGGGTAGGGGAATGTTTGGGAAAAGTCTACAGCCTAGAGGGGTATGACATTTGCAGGGTCATGTGATAAGAAGAAAAAGAATGAGGTACAATTGGCATGGAAGGTGGCTATCATTGCAGGGTGGGACAATATCAGAGGGATGGCATGCCGTCGGACATTTAAAGATCGCATGCAGGTGGATGTTATGTGAGGAAGTGAAAGACATGGGGATAAGATGGGAGGTCGACTTGCGTGAGAGGAGTGAAAGATATGAGGGTGGGTTTAGATGCCATGGAAGATGGAGAAAGGGTAGTGGCAGCATGTGGAGGGTCTATTGTATGGTAAATGGGGAGACAGCATACAAGACAGGGACTTCAGTAGTAGAGTATGGAAGGCTGGTGGTGGATTGCAATATGGGATTGCGAGGAAAGCATGAAATGGGGGGTGAAATTTGGAGTCCGGTTGCATAAGAAAGAGGGAGTGGAATGGGGTGGGATGGGAAAGAAATGGGATGGTTTTGAGTTGCGAAAGATTGCAACGAAGCATGGAGTAGCATGTCAATGAAAATTCAAAGAACTGCTGTTTCAATAAATTTAGAAATTGTTTTGTGGGTCACTCCTAGTATTTAGTACATTTTCCTAGTTTTATACCTTAAGGAAGGTCTATTGTAATATAGGAGATTGCGTAGATAAATGAAAGGTGTAAATTGAAAGTGACTGTAATATGTATGGTTCTTTTTTAGTCAGAAATGCTGCTGCTAACGGTGTCGCTGTGTTGACAGTACTATTGAATTCTGGGCTAACGTTGTTAGGTAACGACAGCGCCATCCTTTATATTGCGGCCAGTTCTGGTATTTTGCTCAACTGCATTCCGAGTCTACGGAAGTGACGTAATTTTGTGCGTAGCCGGAAGTTTTCTGCAGGAGACTTAATTTTCACATTAGTGATGGCAACGTTAGAGACAGTCCCTAAAGATTTACGACATTTACGGGCTTGTCTCTTGTGTTCGTTGGTTAAAGTAGGTCCGGATAGAGTATATGGTTCTCACTACTTCATTTAGATTGCGTTCGCTCGTATTTTGAGCGAGTGAGGCTTGTTTTAACGCTGTTCAGTGAGGACTAATTGTTGGCGAGGTTCGGTTTTAACTGTTCAACTCCATTATGAGTTGATTAGGGGCATTTTTAACTGTTCTTCTTTGCGTACCGCTTATACACTGTCGGTGGGCAGAATTCAAAACCACTTCTGCGAGCACCCAAAAGTTCAGCTCCAACAATAATATACAATGTCCTATGCAGTCGCAACAATAAGGGTTTGTCGTTAAATCTGATGCTTCAAGGTAATAAGTAGGGCCTTGGATACTGTTGTAGAACAGAGTGACCTAGGGGTTCAGGCGCATAATTCTTTGAAGTTACATGTTACAAGTGGTTAAGAAGGTATTTAGCACCCTTGCTGTCATTGCTCAGACCTTTGAGTATAGGATTGGGATGTCATGTTGACGTTGTTCTGAATATTGGTGTGGCCTTTTCTGGAGTACTGTGCCCAATTTTGGTCACCCTGTTATAGGAAGAATATTATTCAGCTGTAGGGACCTCAAAAAAAAATTGAGGATGTTGCCTGGAATGGAGGGTTTGAGTTATAAGGAGAGGCTGGATAGGCTGAGACTTCTTTCACTGGTGTGTAGGAAATTGAGGGGTGACCTTTAAAGGTTTATAAAATCATGGGTGGCATGGATAAGGTGAATAGTCAATGTTTTTTTCCCCTGAGGGTAGTGGAGTCCAAAACTAGAAGGCATAGGTTTTAAGGTGAGAGGGGAAAGGCTTAAAAGGGACCTAAGGGGCAACAGTTTCAAGCAGAGGATGGTGTGTGTATGGAATGAGCTGCCAGTAGAAGTGGTGGAGGCTGGTGCAGTTACTTCATTTTAAAATGCATCTGGATGGGTATTTGAATAGGAAGGGTTTAGAGTGTTATAGGCCAAATGCTGGCAAATGGGACTAGATTAACTTAGGATATCTGGTCGCATGGACAAGTTGGACCAAAGGGTCTGTTTCTGTACTCTACATCTGTGAATATGGCTAATTGTTTGGAGGGATATGGGTCATGTGCAGGCAGGTGGGACTAGTTTAGTTTGGAATTATGGTTAGCATAGACTGGTTTCTGTGCTATGTTACTATGACTGAATATTGGAGAAAAATTCTGTTATTGAGTGTGGCTTCAAGTTTTCATGGAGCAACAAAGGCTTCATGTAGGACATACGAATGGAATTGCAGTGTGTTTGAACTTGTCATTAATTGAACTGCAGCTCTTCAGGTCTGTACTGTATTCATTGTTGCAACTGTTCCTTTTAATGACAGTACCAGCTTCTCAGTTAATATTGAAATCAGCCATTTTATGGCTAAAAGAATGTGTACGAGGCATCAGTGTCTTTGACACCTATAAATGCCATTTGATGATTTTTAATTTAAACATGACATACCTATCTGTCTTTTCTCTGCTTTATAGACTATCGATCAATTTGAGTATGATGGTTGTGATAACTGTGATTCCTACCTGCAAATGAAGGGGAATCGAGAGATGGTGTATGACTGTACCAGTTCTTCTTTTGATGGGTAAGTTAGTTTACAATTACACAATTTATAAGGTGGGGGGAATTGACAGTTTTAATTTGGGGGGTGTTGGAAGAGGGTGTGACATTTCTTTGTTTGGGAAAAATGGAGATGTCTTAAAGCTCATTTAATTAAAAGAACTATGGTGAACATTTGAAGGTGGTTGGGTTAATATAATTAATAATGTGGGATCTTCTTCTTTATCAATAGAAGTTTACTGCTGAAAAAGCCAGAAACTTGTGCTGAACTGATATCAAACTTTAGTTCCGCCCAGTGGAGGACAGCATCCGATTCTGGATACTGCAATTTAGGAAGGACGTGAAGGCTTTGGAGAGTGTGTAGTATGTTTTCCTTGGCTTACATTTTGGAATAAAAGGTCATCCATTTATAACCAAGCTGAGAAGTGTCTATATTAAAGGGAATATAGAACATTTTTTTTCTATTCATTTGTAGGATGTGGGTGTCGCTGGCTGGCCAGCATTTCTTGCCCGTCCCTAGTAGCCTTTAAGAAGGTGGTGGTGAGCTGCCTTCTTGAACCACTGCAGTCCTCCTACTGTGGGTTGACCCACAATGCTGTTTGGGAGTGAATTCCAGGATTTTGACCTAGTGACAGTGAAGGACCAGTGATATTTCCAAGTCAGGATGGTGAGTGACTTGGCGGTGGTGGTGTTCCCATATGTCTGATGCCCTGGTCCTTCTAGATGGAAGTGATCCTGGGTTTGGAAAGATGCTGTCTGAGAATCTTTGGTGAATTTCTGCAGTGCATCTTGTAGATAGTACACACAGCTGCTACTGATCGATGGTGGTGGAGGAAGTGAATGCTTGTGGATATAGTGCCAATCCAGCGGGCTGCTTTGTCCTGGATGGTGTCAAGCTTCTTGGGTGTTGTTATAATTCTGTATTGTGCAAGGCTGTGGATGATCATTTAATTTTTGAATATTAGGGAAATTGTTTGTGAGAAGTGTGCAAGAGGGTGGAGTTGAGATGGAAGATCAGCCATGCATTGAATGATGAAATGGTAAAGGGTTAAATGGTCTACTCCTGTTTCTTTTATATTAAGAAATTTATTTGAATGGTTCCAATAATGAGGGATTACAATTGGGTGGACAGCCTGGAGAAGCTAGATGTGTGTACAGAGAAGGTTAGAGCATAGAAGCACATGAACAAGGAACAAAAAGAGGCCATTCAGCCCCTTTATCCTGCTACACTGTTCAATAAGATAATAGTTGACTTTGTTTTATACCCTGTTTTATTTTGATACCCTGCAGACAGCCTTTGACTTTCTTGCCTAGCAAGGATGTATCTATTACTCCCTTAAAAATCTTTTAATCCTGCCTTCACTGCCTGCAGTGGCAAATTCCAAAGTGTCTCAATGTTCTAAGACAGACAAAAACCTCATCTCTATCCTAAAAGGGAGATCTTTAATTTTTAAACAAAACCTCCTAGTTCTGGACTTCCCTTCAAGAGACAACATCTTTTCCACATTCACCCTGTCAAGACTATTCATGATCTTTTATTCTTTAATTACATCACCTCTCACTCTTCTAAACTCCAGTGGAAAAAAGCCCCACTCTCAAAGTTGCCATCATTAGACACCTGCCATTCCAAGTATCAATCCAGTAAACCTTCTCTAGACCATAACCAATGACTTTACATGTTTTGTAAAATAATTACAGCAAAACTGTAGTCCCACATCTGGTCTCCCAAATGTCCTGACAAAGGCCTGACATTCAACAAGCTCTTGGTCTGTAGCGCATTAGGATTATCAGCCCTTATGTTTATGACAGAGCTGTTCCAGGGTATGGATACTATAGGAACGATAGAAAGGGAGGCAAGAGAGGAGGCGTAGTGGCGTTTTTGATTAGGGATAGCATTACGCCTGTACTTGGGGAGGATATTCCTGGGCATGTGTCCAGGCAAGTTACTTGGGTGGAACTGAGAAACAAGAAAGGGATGACAGCTTATTGGGATTGTACTGTAGACCCCCCAATAGACAGTGGGAAATTAAGAAACAAATTTGAAAGGAGATCCCAGTTATCTGTAAGAATAATAGCATGGTTATGGTAGGGGATTTTTACTTTCCAAACATAGACTGGTACTGCCATAACATTAAGGGCTTGGATGGAGAGGAATTTAAGTGTGTACAAGAAAATTTTCTGATTCAGAATGTGGATGCACCTACTAGAGAAGGTGCAAAACTTGATCTACTTTTGGGAAATCAGGCAGGGCAGGTGACTGAGGTGTCAGTGGGGGCGCAGTTTGGGGTCAGTGACCATAGTTCTAGTAGTTTTAAAATATTGATGGAAAAGGATAGACCGGATCTAAAAGTTCAAGTTCTAAACTGGAGGAAGGCCAATTTTGACAGTATCGGGCAAGAACTTTCAAAAGTTGGTTGCAGGCAGATGTTTGAATGCAAAGGGATGACTGGAAAATGGGAAGCCTTCAAAATGAGATAACGAGAGTCTAGAGACAGTATGTTCCTGTTAGGGTAAAGGGCAAATCTGGTAGATGTAGGGAATGCTGGATGACTGGAGAAATTGAAGTTTTGTCAAGAAAAAGAAGCAAGCATATGTCAGTATATAGACAGCAGAGATTGAGTGAATCGTTAAAAGTATAAAGGCAGCAGGAGTATACTTAAGAGGGAGATCAGGAGAGTAAAAAGGGGACACGAGATAGCTTTGGCAAATAAAGGTAAAGAATCCAAAGGGATTCTACAAATACGTTAAGGACAAAAGGGTAACCAGGGAGAGAATAGGGCCCCTTAAAGTTCAGCAAGGCCGCCTGTGTGCGGAACCGCCGGAGATGGGGGAGATACTAAACGAGTATTTTACATCAGTGTTTACTGAGGAGAAAGGTTTGGAAGATAGACAACATGGGAAAGTAAATAGTGACATCTTGAAAATGTCAATATTACAGAGGAGGTGGTGCTGGACAGCTTAACATGTAAAGGTTGATAATTCCCTGGGACCTGATCAGGTGTACCCTAGAACTCCGTGGAAAGCTAAGTGATTGCTGGGCCCCTTGCTGATATATTTATATCATCGATAGCCATAGGTGAGGTGCTCAGAGACCGGAGGTTAACTAAGGTGGTGCCACTATTTAAGAAAGGTGATAAGGAAAAGCCAGGGACGTATAGACTGGTGAGCCTGGTGGGCAAGTTGTTAGAGGTAATCCTGAGAGATAGGATTTATATGTATTTGGAAAGGCAAGGACTGATTAGGAATTGTCATCATGACTTTGTGCATGGGAAATCATGTCTCATGAACTTGATTGAGTTTTTTGAAGAAGTAACAAAAAGGATTAATGAGGGCCGAGCAGTGGATGTGATCTATACGGACTTCAGTAAGGTGTTCGACAAGGTTCCTCATGGTAGACTGGTTAGCAAGGTTAGATCACATGGAATACAAGGAGAACTAGCCATTTGGATACAGAACTGACTTGCAGGTAGAAGACAGAGGGTGGTGGTGGAGCATTGCTTTTTAGGCTGGAGGCCTGTGACAGCAGTGTGCCACTGGTGACAACAAGGTGCAGGGCTGGATGAACACAGCAGGCCAAGCAGCATCATAGGAGCAGAAAGGCTGACATTTCGGGCCTAGACCCTTCATCAGAAAAGGGGGAGAGGAAGGGGCTTCTGAAATAAATAGGGAGAGAGTGGGAGGCGGATAGAAGATGGATAGAGGAGAAGATAGGTGGAGAGGAAACAGACAGGTCGAAGAGGCGGGGATGGGGCCAGTAAAGGTGAGTGTAGGTGGGGAGTTAGGAAGCGGATAGGTCAGTCCAGGGAGCACGGACAGGTCAAGGGGGCGGGATGAGGTTAGTCGGTAGGAGATGGGGGTGCGGCTTGAGGTGGGAGGAGGGGATAGGTGGGAGGAAGAACAGGTTAGGGAGGCGGGGATGAGCTGGACTGGTTTTGGGATGCGGTAGGGGGAGGGGAGATTTTGAAGCTTGTGAAATCCACATTGATACCATTGGGCTGCAGGGTTCCCTAGCGGAATATGAGTTGCTGTTCCTGCAACCTTCGGGTGGCATCATTGTGGCACTGCAGGAGGCCCAGGATGGACATGTTGTCTAAGGAGTGGGAGGGGGAGGGGGAGTTGAAATGGTTTGCGACTGGGAGGTGCAGTTGTTTATTGCGAACCGAGTGTAGGTGTTCTGCAAAGTGGTCCCTGAGCCTCCGCTTGGTTTCCCCGATGTAGAGGAAGCCACACCGGGTACAGCGGATGCAGTATACCACATTGGCAGATGTGCAGGTGAACATCTGCTTGATGTGGAAAGTCTTCTTGGGGCCTGGGATGGGGGTGAGGGAGGAGGTATGGGGGCAGGTGTAGCACTTCCTGCGGTTGCAGGGAAAAGTGCCGGGTGTGGTGGAGCTGGAGGGGAGTGTGGAGCGGACAAGGGAGTCACGGAGAGAGTTGTCCCTCCGGAAAGCAGATAAAGGTGGGGAGGGAAAGATGTCTTTGGTGGTGGGGTCGGATTGCAGATGGCGGAAGTGTCGGAGGATGATGCGTTGGATCCGGAGGTTGGTGGGGTGGTACGTGAGGACGAGGGGGATTCTTTTTTGGTTCTTATTGCGTGGACGGGGTGTGAGGGATGAG